CAAACACTCAGAAAGAACAACAACACCAACAGCAAGAAAAACATCATGCACCACACAGTAACACACAGAGACAAACACTAGATAAGGGAGAAAGTGGAGGCATTCGTATGGGGTAGGGGAATGTGCATAGCCCACACTTACATTGCACACCCCTTTCTTTTTCTTTTTTAACGTCACGCGTCCCTCCCTCGCCATGTAGCGGGCTGCTGTTGCAGTCTGCACGCACAGCCTCGTTTTCAGAGGCTCTCTCCCGTTCTCTAACTCTCCCTCTCTCTCTCTCTCTCTCTCTATGAATATCAATATATAATATATATGCCGTTCTGCTCCTCCCATAGGGCTTTCTTTTTTCTTCTTGGTTCAACGTCCCTCCTCTCTGTTTCGCTTTCTTTATTCCTCGTCCCCACTCTATTGATTGCTATCGTCCCCTAAAGAACTTGATGCGCATTGTGAGGGAGCGCCGCATAATGTCCAGCAGTTCCGGCGACTTCGAGACGGGCGTGCCGTTCACACTTTCAATGCGCCATTCCGTCTTCACTGGCGGCTTTTCGAATGTCTTGTAGAACGGGTGCCGGCGCCTGGGGTCGCGCCTCGACGCCAGCTCCAGCAGCTGCGTGATGCGCAACGTCCGGTCCGCCCCATCGCCCGCGCTCTCGAGTGTGAGTCCCCACTTCCTGCTGGCGGAGTTGCGGTGAATGACCATCTCACTTGGCGTCAGCAGCTCGATCTTGACGTTGTCGGACAGCACGAGCGGATTTGGCGTCTCCGCCGCAGCTGCCACCACACCCTCCTGTTGCTCCGCATCAGCGACAACCACCTCCTCTGGTGTGGCTTCCTCGTCGGCGACCATAGGGTAAGTCTCCTTCACGTCATCCTCCTCCGCCAGCGGCTCCGGCTCAGCAGTTAACTCCTCCGCCTCGTTGGCATCTGCAGCGTACATCGCATCCGCCGCAGCGTCAACCTCCTCAGCGTTCAGTGGCTCGCCTTTCTTTTGTTGTTTTTTCGGGGACTTGCGCTTTTTCTGCTCAGGAAATCGTGCCGTGCCCGTCTCCACCAGCGGTGTTTCCCTAGCTTCCCCGATCAGTTTCGGACTAAGAGTGGTGGAGATCGTGTGTGTCTTGGCGCTCCGGCGATGATCGTTAATGGCGGGCGAGACAAGGACAAGATTTAATACAATCGTCTCAGTGTCAGCGCACAACGCTTCTGCTTGACTGGCATTCGTCACCTCGACCCCGTTTACCGCCAAAAGACCAACACGCCCCTTGTACTCAGAGAAGAAGTTTTTGGCGCTTTCCAGCAACGCTCGCTTTGGCACGTTGCTAACAACAAGGCTTTCGGTGAATTCACAGCCCCATGGCAGACGCCGGTCGGGGCGGTAAAGGACGAGCGTTGCCCGCTGACCAGAGGAGCCCTCGCCCCCCTGGTTTGGCACAAGAAAGGCCAGCTGGTGCACCTTTGGCTGCTTTAGTGTGTCCGGCGCCAGCTTCACCACCAGACGCTTGTTACTCTTTGTGGCACTCGCAATAAGCTCAATCACCCCCGACGCGCCGTCAGGCATGACGCCCGGCACCGTCGTGGAGTTCACAGCAACCACCGTGGTGCCCTGCGTGGTGCCACGCAGAAGCTGGTGCAGCTCCTCGCCCTCCGCAGAAGTGGAGCGAAGTGTGACATCGATGCCCACCAGACGCCCGCACTCGTTGAAAAGCATTCCCCACGGGGATGTCACATCTGTGCGGCGCAGCACCACCGTCGCCGTTTCACGGCTAACGGACTGCACCCATGTGCCAGTGATGGGCGGCTGCAAGGTGCTGCTTTCAACTTGGTCCACCCACTCGGCGAGTTGGTAGTAGTGCCGCAAGAGGATGGACATCAGCTGCTCCGCCGCCTCGGGGGTGGTGTCCATGAGCTGCACACACGGGAATGTGACAAGGGCGTTGTCATACGAGGCTTCAAAGTCGCTTAGCAGCGTGACGGTGGTGCGCAGTGCCGCCAGCTGCTGCGGCGTGTGCCTGTTACTCACGTCGCCGCCAAGCTCCAGCGCGAGCCGCTTGCGCAGCTGCTCAACGAACATCTCCACGCGCAGCTTCACGCTCACCCAGGTGATGACGTGAAGCCCCTCCACCACGCCAGCCTGCGGCGCCGTCCTGTTCGCAACGTACTCCGCCAACACGGCGGCGATGTCCGCGCGCCCCAGCTGCCCCACCACAACCTCCCGGTGGAATGATACGAGGGCGAAGCGCACGATGTCCGCCAGCTCCACCAGTGCATCGCGCGGTGTCAGCACCACCTCTGCCTCTTTTTGGCACAGCTCGTTGAGGCGCGCCATGACGGTGGCGATGCGGCGCGCCACGAGGAACGTGTGCGGCTCCTTCAGCGATGGCGGCTGGTTGACGGGGCTGTGCGGCGCGTACAGCAGCTCCGCCGCCGCGCCCCACTGCTGCAGCCGCTGCCACGTCGTGAGCCCATCCTCCATCGTTGCGGTAAAGGTGTGCTTGCGCGCCTGATCCCTTGGCATGACGGAACACGACCAACCTCCACTCAATCTACGCTGGCGCTGCTTCAGCCGGACAACAGCCGAAAAAGACAAACGAACAAACAAACGCACACAAAAAAAAAGAAAAGAGACAGAGACACGTGATGAGGTGAAGGGGCGAGAATAACACATCACGGCCAGATCCGCCCGCCACACCCACACACACACCCTTTCGGTTTTCCCACCTTCCACTACTTCCTGAAATCCGGCCACAGACGGAGGTGGCTCACAAGAAAAACGGGAGCAAAATTTTTGGCGGCACAGCAATAGAAGAACTCTCTTGCTCAACGAAAAAAAAATGAGCACCGAAACCACGTAGAGAGGAGTGAGGAGAAGAGTGGCATCACCCAAGAGCAAAAGTGCCAATCCCTGTGCCAACCACACACAAACATATATATATATATATATGTATCCGAACGCTTGGAAAAAAAAAAGGAAAAAAGGTAAGAAAAAAGAAACACTTCCATGAACTACAAAGCTACTGTGCTTGAGTTTTTGTTGTACTGCCCGTACGACTGCGTTCGCACCAATTCTTTTTACACATCACCTTAAAGGTATATTAGGTAACGGCGATTCATTCTCTTTGAACGGAGGCTTCCACAGGTGATGGCATTGTTTTTGTTGTTGTTGTTGATCTTGTTTCATGACAATGCTTATATCTTCTGTCACCGCTTCCATCTCTTGCTGCACCACACCACTTTTTCCTCCGGCGCCCTTACACTCCAAGTATGCGAGCACCAGCAACACCAATGTGATAATGTACTGTACCGTCTTTGGGCGGAGCTTCTCCAGCTCTTCATCATCAAAGTAGGTGGGCCGGCGCCACAGCGCGTGGGGGAGGATGAGAATGCTGTTGAGAAGCAGCACGAGACCAAGAGTTCGGAGGCCGTCTCTGAAGAAGAAGAGTATCCATAAAATGATAATGTAGACGTCCACAAGGTTCTGGTATAGTATAGATACGCCCCCGATGCACATGTTCGCACCGCACTTTGCCCGCTTCTTCTCGTGGAGGTGAATGCTGTGCACAAGAATGGCGGAAACGAGCAGCAGGACAAAAAACACCGGGTCGTACAGCAGAAGAAACGGAAGTGTGGCCGAGTAGAATACCACCGCATAGTTGGCGCCATAGAATGGAAGATTCAGATTCAGCCGTTCAATTGCCTCGGACGAGCTCTTCGGCATGAAAAATTGCTTGTAGTTGAAGAAATCCTTCTTCCACGGCAGCTGCTCCTTTTGGAGCGTCTCGCGGATGCACCACATCTGCTGCATCGCGTAGTGCACGTACCCCCTCACGCCACCGCAGTGTCGCTGCTGCTGCTCCTCCTTCGAGGATGTGTCCGACGATGACTTCGAGGGGAAACTCAGCTCCCTCGAGATGGAATCGTGAGTGGTGGCCGTGTCAGATGAACACATCCCACTGCTACTGAGGGTGCAATTGCCACTTGGGCCTGCATCCTGTCTCACCGCAACGCCATTTAGAACGGCGGAGGTGTTTCTGTTTGGCATTTAAGAGCAATACCACCTCCAGAATTATATATATATATATATCTTCGTTCCCCAAATGGGTAGTGAAACGTAGGTGAGAGAAGAGAAATGATGCAAATCGACAACAGTAATCATAGTGATGATGATACGGACATATGAAGAAGTTGAGCGTGTGTGCTCTTCAGCACAACAACACTCAATCGCATCCGCAGCGACGATAAAACTTGAGGTGCGTAAAGGAAACTGTACAGGTCACTCAAAGAAAGGAACTGGGAAAGGGAGATCGAATAAAAATTCACTCATTACCCGTTATTAAAAGAAAAACATCTGGCGTCTGCCTCAGTATCATAATCCACCGGTTCCTTCGACAAACGTTTCTTAGCTGTGCCCGTTTGCGAGAGGTGTTGCTGCAGAAGTGCTGCATCAACAACCCTCCACGTTGCGCCAGGCGTGCGTTGAACACGCGGGAACTGCGGGAAGAAGCGGTGGGCAATGAACTGCAGGTACATGGCCTTCACTGCGCAGATGGGCCCCGGCTGAAGCAGCAACTCTTTCACATGAGCGAAGAGGCGCTGGGGGCGGGGATTCGCACCCTTCAGGAGGCGGCTCAGCCACCACCCACACCTATTGACCAAACCCACCGGTTTGACACGTCGATACTCGTCATTTGGCGAATCGTGCACCAGCAACAGCGGCACCAGCGAAGACGATGAAGATGAAGGTGCATGCATACTGCCGCTTCTGCCACTCGTGCTGCTGTTGTGACGGCGACGGTTTGCCTCCTCTTCTTGAAGCTGCGCACCACGCTCAAGGCAGTGACACAGGAGGATGAGAATCTCCATAAGTTTCGGCAGTAGCCCGATGATGTTATTCTGCCGCCGACTAAGCTGCAGCGTGCAGGTGCGCTGCAGGAAGGCAAGGATGGGCCGCGTCACTCGGTCCAGCCGCTGCGAATAGGGATGCAGCACAAGAGCGCACTCTGCCAGTGTCGTGAGGCGGTGCAGGCTAATGCCGTCCATCGCCCGCAGTGACGTTGAGGAAATGAACCCACATCGGTTGGCTTTCATCTTGGCGTCGGAAGCGCTGCGTGCGTCATCGCTCACCGACGCCACAAGATTAGGGGGGCGGGGCGGCAGAAGTGTGTCACCGTCGTCCTCGCTGCCCACCGCGACGCGGTAGCACTGCTGCCACAAGTAATGCACCACACGGTAGCGTGAAACGAACGGTAGCTCGAGCTCCAGGTTTAGCGAGTCAACGGTATGATGCATGAAAGAGCGGTGGCTGGGCGGCAGCGCATCCGACGGCCTCGCGGACTTGTCGGTGTGGCTACTACTGGGGCCAGCACTGGCTGCCCACGAAGCCGTCACAAGGGCGTAGGCAAAGGAGACCCTCTTGCTCCCTCCCTCATTAGTGGCAGCCATCAATGAGAGGACGAAGGAACACTATGGCTGCAATGAGTCTTCCTTTTCGCTTGGCGCATTACACGAGGGAGGAGCAAGGCATTTGTGACACCAGCGCACCAAAGGAAAGGGTACACTGTCATCATGATAAGAGACATCATTTGCGGCAAACACACACATACACACACACACACACACGTATGTGTATATGCATACATGAATGGATGCATGTAGGTGCACACAAGTACGGGGTCCACTCGTGCCAGCCTCACGTACCGCACGCTGAACGAAGTGCGCGGAGTGTGGCATGCGGGACCCAAGATTCGGCGTTTTGCCTCATCATCACGTCCGACACCTGCAGGGCCACTGGTGAGTGCTGCCACACGTTTCTGCTCCGCAGAAACACAGACACTGCGGCTTCCCACCGCCCCGCAACACGCAACGCACGCAGTGCGAAGAGAACAGAGAGCGGTGGGTCATGCGGTGCGGCGTCCTGCATGGCGGCAAGCGCTTCCAACCACCGACCGCCACGCGCCACACAGACGGCAACGTAACTGCTCAACTTTAGATGCCGCCGCAACTCAGCACCGTTGCTGCTGCCGCTTCCGCTGTCACTGCACGCGGCGTCGCAGGGCAGAAGCGAGTCCCACCACTCAAGGCACAGCTTCCAATATCCCAGTCGCTGCAGCGTCAACACCAAAGGAACGGCAGCGTGTGGGGTGAGTTGCTCGCGCAGGGCTGGTGTATCAATCAACACTTTGCACAAGTCCAGCGAGCGCATGGCGTTTGCGGCCTCCGCCACTGCCTTCGCTGTCACCGCCGTCGGGTGTATGCCGCGTGACACCATAAACACGCTGACCACACGCAGCGCCTCGCACTGGCGGCCCTGCCGGCTAAGTATCCCTAGCGCGATGTTCACCGAGGCGGCGTTGGGGTGTGGCATCGACTGAAGCACCTGAAGGGCACGAACCCACGAGGTGCGCTCCTTCGGCCGGTGCAGAATGTGCAGTAGCTCCTCGTTGTTCGTCACCGCAACGGCCCCACCCGCACACTGACCAGCGCTGTCAGCCTCGTCCACGGCGAGACGCCACTGCTGCTTCTGCTGCTGCTGATTATGTCCGATATCATGTCCGCGTCGTAGCTCGTGTGCGACCCGCGCAACCGTCGCTCGATGTGGTGCGGGAATGTGCGGCACAACACGCCGCTCAAATGCTTCCGCGAAGAAAGCCAACTCCCTCTCCGTAGCGGCGTCGCCACTGCCGCTGCTACGGTCAACCTGCCACTTGAAAACGTCCTGCAGCTGTTGGCACGCATGGCTCCAGCAGCCGGCATCGGCCGCCGCCAACATCGCCATGCGCCTCGCCGCGACACGTCGATGACATAGCACCGACGCATTTGAATCGACGCCGCTCATTACAACATGCACCGCCTCACCCCACCTTCCCACTTGCGCTAACATACGTGTGAGCAACAGCACATGCGCGCCGGACACGACGGCACCCTCAGCCGTAGCGGCGGTGCGCCAGGCGGAGAGAGCCGCCTCCCACGCGCCACGTGCAGCACTCGCCTCGAGAAATATTGTCAGTACATCCCGCATCGACCACAGCCACCACTGCTACAATTAAAAGCAGCAGCAGCGCTACACACCAGCACGTTTGAAAATGGAAAAAACAATTAAGAAGAAAGGAAGAACCAAACAAGGCGTTGATGTAAGCCATACGACTGGCGACGCACATCCCTTAGTGTGGCTCACTATTCCATTTGGCGCATAGGAGACAACATCAAAACAGCACCACAAAATGGTGTCTGCATATACGAGAAACACCAAAGAGAGAAGGACCGACTCACTGAATAGACGAGTGACTCCACCGCATTCAGTACTCACCCTTCGAACTGATGTGCAGGCACGGACGCTCCACCAGTATGTGAAACACAAATGCCACGAGGAGCGTCGCCACTGTATAACCAAACCACTGTACAACAAGAAGCAGAAAGCTCATGGTGGCCACACCGTAGCTGCTGGCGTTGCCGAAGCCAATCACGACAGGCGCCATGAGGTACGCGACCAGAACAAGCCGAGAGGGGCCGCACCACAAGCGGTGAATCAGAACACGCCGAAACATACCGCCGTAGCCGAAAAGCAGCGGCAGGGCGAGCAGGCATAGACCGATACACCACGGGAAGAGAATGAGCGACTCGTACACCTTGACACCATGACCGACCTCCTCCCCACTGCGCGAGTCGCGGCGCACCGTCCACGCGCTGATGACGCAGACACACATGACGGTGACGCCGCTCCACATTGCACAGACACGCACACGCCGCACCTGCAGCCGCTCTAGAAGCCAGTAACTTACCCTGTCTTCTGCGCTGACGCTGTTGCGGAGGCGGTGTATTGCGTAGAGGATATCGGGGCCGAACATGCGCAGCATCTCTTCACGCTGTCGCACACCCCTGTAGGAGTAGTAGAGCGTCGCCCCGGCGCAGAACGGGATGAACATGAGGTGCGGGTACTGATACACCGTCCCGATCGGAAGTGAGTAATGGGATACAGCGCTCAGTGAGAAGGGGATGCTGCGCTGGCGCGTGAGCTCAACGTAACGTAGTGCCGCACTCGCAGCCATTGCGAGCAATAGAAGCGCGCCGAATACGCGGTGGTGCAAGTGCTTACCAAGGAAGCAAATAAGTGGCGCTATCGCAACAAGTTGAAACTCCAGCGCCACGTAGTAAGACCACGGGAAGCAGCGTTCATCACCGTCTGTGGGGAGAATGTTATTGATAAGCAGGAAGTTCGTCCACCAGTACTTCGCACAGTTTGTGTGCATAGTGGGGGCGTGCGCGAAGAGCGTCCAGAAGGGCCCACTCCCGGAACTCGGCGTGGCACTCGGCGTGAGTATCACAACTGCAAGCGAGACGGGAATGACACGCACAAATCGTGACACGAGGTACTTGACGTACCACACAATGCAGATTCGCACGCGTTGGACGGACGTGCGCTGCGCCGCCTTAATTCGCGCCGTTGGGGAACTCATGAAGACCACCTCAGAGGCATGCAGACGATGCAGAGCCAGGAAACCAGAAATAACGAGGAATGTGCCAATAGCAAATCCAGCAAAGACCTCCTTCTCGAGAAAGGCATAAAGGAAGTCGGTGTGGCGCGATCCCATATTTTCCATCGTGGGAATCTGCTGCGAGTACCAAAAGGTGTTGAACAACATGATCCATAGCCACGCAAGCACCCTCCAGCTGTTGAAGAGATTCAAATTCGCCTCGGACTTGGGGTAGTAGCGCCACTTGCGGTAACTGTTGATGGCAGACAGGCAGAGAACCACACGGTTAACGACGGAGCGGAAGTCAGGCACTTCAGGCATCTCCGCCAGAAATTGCTGCACTCGCTTATTTGACCAGATCGCCTCTGTATTAAATTCCGGAAGGAGACCCGTCGTTGCGCGCGCAGAATGACCGCCACCACCTTCTTCTACTGCTGCAGCTGCACCGGGGTGATACTCCTTGTGGCGGAAAACATATCCCCGACATGGCTTTGACTTCGGCTGGGGCGTCACCACCACCGTCACTTCATCCACTATGCCTTCCACAGGGGGAAAGGATGACGGTGAAACACCAGCAACATCTTCACGTGCGACGGACTGCTCTGCCGGCGTGAGTAGTGGTTGAGAGATGTCTACTAAAATGGCGGGAGAAACGGGGGATTCCACTTGCTGCTGATGCTTCTGTTGCTGCGAAAAGCAGGGAGTAGTTTGAGCAGTCCCCGCCGACGCTCCATTGCATTCATTTCTAGGCACAAATGCTGCTGCATTGGGGGACCGAAGCACGCGAACGACGGCCCCATCTCTTCCCATCGTCACCACCTCAAACGGGATGCTGCGCGATGTTATCTGCCGGCAGTAGTCGTAGGTCNTCGCCAACACCACAATTACCACAATGAAGCTTATAACTGCCCACGAAACGATATTCTCTGTGCGAACTTCCGTGGGAGGTGCAATGCGAGGGGTACAATGGACATACTGCGCCAGTGACGCTCCTGCATCCGCGCTGTCTACAAGTCTATTGTAAGAAAATGTCTCGTTGAGCATAGGGTCCGCCACGACGTGGTGAGCGATCTGCAGCAGTGTGCAGGTGGCGGGCAGACAGTAACCAAGGAGGCGCGAGTTGCCCCACTTGGACTCCGTTGGAAACAGCAGACAGTACTGCACGCCACTCACGGCTGGGCATCCGCTATAGCTCCCCAGCATACCGGGAACCCCACCAGAGACGCGCAGCATCAGCGCCGTCTGATTGCAGAACGGCGTCGCCATACTTGGCACCCCGTTGCACCTCAAATACCCCTCTTATTTGGTTGCTTGATGTATGTATGTCTGTATGTGTGTCAGTTGCTGCAGATGGATAAAATGGGCGGATGGCGGCGGGTCTCACCGCCCCCCTCTGGGGGGAAGGAGAGAGATAGATGGATAGAGACAGTTCCACACACACACACACACAGAGAGAGAGAGAGAGAGATTGACAGAGAGGAGGAACGAGTAGAAGTGGTGAAAGGCGAACGCCAGCGACCCGTGCCAGCATACACACACGCAGAAAATGGGCGTGTGGATTGAAAGCGGCCTTTTGCTCCCCCACCGTCCTCCGTGCATCGGCTCGCGCGCATCACGCACCCCCCACACCCAAACACACACACACACACACAGAGAGAGAGTGTGTGTGTCTGTGAGAGATAGTGAGGGAAAGAGAGATATATATGGGAGTCGGGGCAAGGCGACGGAGGAGACACCAACCCAAATAAACGACCAAAAAAAAAATGAAAGTGCTGCCGCTGTGTATGCCACGCTGTGGTGCTCTATGGGTAAAACAACAACAGGACGATTTTGTTTTTCTCCCTTTTCTTTCTTTCTTTTTCTTCTTCTTGTGTTGTGACACGTTATCCACTCAACATGAAGACAGCTTCAAAGTAATGAAACCAGAACAACAACACAAGAAGAAAGGAAGCGTCAAGGGGGAGCTGCGAGGCGATGGAACACGACGGACTCCACTCGGCTCTTCACTCCGGCTTATTCTATTTCCCTCATCTCTATATTTTTTTTTTCTTCTCTTCTTTATTACTGGGTTTTGTATGTTGCAGCGGACAGGACGAGCAGCAAACGGTTTCTCCTTCGTTCCTCACCCGAAATGCACGGCACCTCCTCACGCCGCAGGGAGGTGTGGAACGCAAGAACAACAACAACAAAAGGGATGTGCGTTGACATTTACTCCTGCGTGATATCAACGACATCGCCGTCCTGCAGATGGTAGTGCAGCAGCGGGTGGCGATCCATCAGGCATGCACCACGGGCCCGCAACACACAACGCGTCAGCGGTATCATCGTCTTCTGCTGCACCAACGCCCGGAGCTTCAGCACCTTCTCGCTGGCGGGCATGCGCAGATCCCAGCGGAAGCCCTTGTCTCTATACACCATCACCAGCCGCACCGCTTCGTCACGCGCGATGATCGTCACCTCTGGCGTTGCGTCCGCCTCACTACGGACGAGGCCGAGCTCCGTCGATCCCAATGTGCACTTTGGGTCAAGCAGCACGCCCCTCGCCCGCCACTCCTGGCAGGCCGCACGTATCCCGGTACTGTTCTGCACCATAACCATCACATCCGCAATGGTGTCGTTCACGTGCGCTGTTACACTGAATGCTTTGTTACTATGCTGAACTCGAGCGACAAATCGACGCCACACGCTCTCATCATGTGACACCGCCGTGGCCGTGGTGGTCGATGACATCGGTCCTGTCGGTGCCGCTGCTGCTGCTGCTATTGTTCCTGTTGTTGAACGAACGGTGTCGGTGGCATTTTCAGCCGTTATCTGAGTCGTCGGGTTGAGGCGCGATGATGCCCCCGCCGCCACTGCCGCTGCAGCAGCAGCTGCTGGTCGTTCATCGCCTGTTGTGACGGGTACCCCAAAGGCGTACCACATGGCATAGTTCTGAATGAAGTATCGCACAAAGTCATCAAACATAACATAGTTGGCGTCACCAAAGATGTCCACCACACGCCGCCGCACCTCCCACTCGGGCATATCTACCGTCCTGCCAAGGAGCGCGTGCTCAAGTATAAAGACCACGTCGTCCAGTGTGATGGCCTGCTCCATGTCACGGCGAAGCGAAAAAAAGCAAAAACGTGCTGCTTCCTGCGGTGTCATGCCCTTCGCGTGAAATGCGCACGTGACGAGCAGCTGGCGCAGCTCCAGCTGCGACACGGCTGCTGCCGCCTGATTGAAAAATACCGACATGACACGCGCAACGCCGGGGTCGAGTGCGGCGCGCCCCGCCAAGACATCCAGCAGGTGCCGCACGTGCTCCAGCGACGGACTCGCCTCCACGACGCAGT